CCCCTACGCCCTCCGCTCACGCGGACCTCCTCTGACCCCCTCCAGTCCGGCCCGTCACCTCCCCATGGCCGACGGTGTGTCACACGCCGCCGACGCGACAACGACCACGGCAGCGGGCTCCACACCCGTGCCGGCGGACCAGGGCCATCAACCCCAGGGGGATCTGCACACCCTCCTCACTTCCCTCCTCGCGCCCATCCAGGCACAACTCGCAGTCCTCGCACCCTTACAGGCGCAGGTGGCGACCCTTGCCGCCGGCATGCAGCAACTCCAGGACGCTGCGTGTCCTTCATCTCCTAGCTCCCAGTCCGGCTCCCCCGTCCTCCGACAGGGTGGCCACGGTGGAGCTTCCTCCTCCATTGACCCCGACCCGGCCATCTTGGTGACTGTCCACGCCCCTAGCACGACGGCTGCCACGAGCCAGACCCTCCTTCAGTCTACGGATGCACCCGCCCAGATTCCGGTCACTATGGCCACGGGACCACAACCCGCTACCATGGTCTCAACTTTTCTGGGTGCCCCACTTCTCCCCCCCCTTCGCACGACCGCAGCGTCACCTGGCTCTCCCCCCTTTAGGATGCCCCGCGCCGCTTGTGCGTCCACTTCCTCCACTCTTCCTCCTGCCACTCCTCGCTCGATCCACGTCCAACGTCTCGAGGATGAGCTTGTCCAGATCCAGGCCGACCTCGCCCTCTTACGCCTTCAACCATCCCCACCCTCACAGGTGGCCGCGCCTTCGGGCGCACCTCCTCCTTCCTCTACCCTTCCTTCCATGCAGGCTCGCTTTCCTCGTCCTGCACCCTATCCAGCCCCATCCTACCTTCTTCCTGTTCCCTCGGTTGCTGCGACCTCTTCTACTGCAGCTCCCTCGCAGCCTGCCGAAGTTGGCCCCGTCACTCCCCCATGGGGCCCAGGCGCACAGTCAGCTGCGCCCCTTTCTCCAGGACCTGCGCCGACTTACTTAGCCGTGGCACAGGCCTCTGCTCCTCGATCCCCTCGCCGCCAAAACGGTGGCGCACCACTCGTCCGCTTGTCGGACATTGCCCTGTATGACGGTACAGGTATACGCGTGTCTCGGTGGTTGCAGTTTGCCACCCGCGCGCTCCAGCTCATGGGCGCCACACCCAACACGTGGGTAGGTCACCTCTCCACGCGCCTGCGTGGCGGTCCTTTCGAGGCCTTGGAGGATTTCTACGCGCACTCCCTCCGCGCGGGTCGGACCTCGACCTTCATGGATTTCCAGGCGTTCCTTGAGGTTTGGAGCTCGGCATGACGTGACTGACGCCTTCGAGCGTGTCATCACTACACGCTGGTCCGGCTCTGGTGGCGCTGCCGGCCTGGATTGCCACATCCAGGTCTTTCAGGACGCCCGCCTCATTTGTGACGTGGCGTTCCTCCCCGAGGCTGCCCTTATCGATCGTTTCTTGGCCAGCCTCCCGCTCGAGTAACGCTCCGAGTAATGGCGGTACGAGTTCACATCGACTCCACAGGCTTACGAGGCCGCCAGAGACCATCAACGGATGCGGACCCGTCTTCACCCCGCCTCCTCCTCCCAGCCCCAACGTACTGGTTACGCCTCCTCCTCCTCTCACGGCACTTCCCAGCGCCGTTCCCCTTTCCGCGGTCGCCCCCGCCGTTCCGCGCAGCAGGGCCGCCACTTCTCACGCCGCTTCAGCGCGCTCGAGGATGGTGAGCAGGACGCTGGTGCCCCGCTGTCGCCAGAGGGTGACCATAGCGACGACGTCGACCTCGGCGAGACCGTCCACCACCACCTGGAGGACTCTACTCTCCCTATGGTTGAGCGCCTCCAGCTCATCCTCTCCAACCTTTCCCGAGCACGCAGCCGCCCTGGTCACGCTGGCGTGTCGCCCCCTGAGGTCCCTCCAAGTCAGCAGGACCTCCCTCAGGGCTTTGTCCCTCCTCGCGGTGTCCTTTCCGCTGAGGAGCGTGCGACTATTTTGGGCCGGCATGGGTGTTTGCGATGCCGTCAGGACGGTCATACCTCCTCGCGGTGCCCTTACACCAACGCCCTTGACCGCCATTACGCTGACCTTTCCCACCAACGTCGTGCTCAGTCCCGCCCTGCCGCCTCGTATGCTCGCGGCACCTCGCATGCCCGCGGCGCCTCGCATTCCCACGGCGCCTCCTATCCACGGTGCAGTGTACACTTGCGCCCTCCTCAGTACTCGGCTTCTCGACATCCCCGTCACGGTTTGCCCCTCTCGCTACTGGAGTTGAGGTCTCGCAGGATCCGATAGAGTGTATTCAACCCTCTTTCGTAGTACCGTCTGGGCCTCCGCAGACCACCGTCTCCCCTTCTACCCCTCCGCGACTACCGACGCGTCGAGCCATTCGCTCAGCCCGTTGCAGCGAGCAGCTCGCTACTCGCGAGGACGTTGTGTCCTCTCTTCTGGACTTGAGCATCCTCCAGGCTCGTCAGGAGCGACTCACCCTCCATGTTGCTGCACTGCGTCACCTCCTCACCATCCTCTCTGACCCTGATTGCACCCTCCCGATCATCCCCGTACGGCTGCGGACTTCCACGAGGGTGTACTCAGCGTTGTGGGATTCCGGTTCTCAGGGCGACTTCATTCACTCACGTGTGGTGAAAGAAACCCGCTTACCCACGACAGGGTCTCCGACTCCCATCTCCGTCACCCTAGGGGATGACAAGACTCAGCGCTTCTTCGATCAGACGGTCACCGACCTCCCTTTCTTCCCCACTCTCGAGCCAACTGATCGTTCCCCGGCGTCTTGTCACCACCGCTCCTCTGCACATTTCGATGTGATGGAGACGGGGTACGACTTCATTCTCGACATTCCGTTGTCTCGTCGGTTCCGCAGCACCGACGCCGATTGGGCGACCAACACTCTCGTTCTCAAAACGAAGTGTGGACAGACGTATCGAGTACCTTTCATAGGTACCACTGCGACACCACGCCCCGTCCTCCTCCCCCGGAGCCTTCCGTGCCCACACCATCTCCTTTTATCACTATCACCTCGCCTCGGCAGTTCGCCCACTTCATCCGACAGGACAACGTCACCTTCTTTATGGTAAACGTGACGGATCTCTTACACTATGATCCACCCTGTCCCAACGCCGAGCTCATCCATCTAGAGCCAGATCCTCCTTCTATCTCCATGGCTCCCATCTCTACTTCCGTCCCTCCGCCATTCGTCGAGTCCACCCCGCCGTCGCGCGCTAACGCTGACGCTGAGGAACTCGCACGATATACGGCTGACCTGGAGCCCGCAGTTCGTGACCTCATTCGAGAGTACCACGACGTTTTCCCATCGTCGTTCTCGTACGCCGGCATCCCACTGATGCTCGACGTAGAGCACTATATCCAGCTTGTGCCTGACTATCGTGTTCACCACCAAGCACCCTATCGACTCTCGATCCCCGAGGCCACCGAGCTCAAGCGTCAGCTTCAGGAGCTCCTGAGACTGGGTTTCATTAAACCCAGCAACTCCCCGTGGGGTGCACCCGTCCTCTTTGCTTGCAAAGCGGATGGAACTCTCCATCTCTGCATCGACTATCGTGGTCTCAACCGCTACACGGTTAAGAACAACTACCCCATGCCTCGTTCTGACGAGCTGTTCGACCGCCTAGCAGGCAACCGCTTCTTTACGAAGATTGATCTCCGTAGCGGTTACCATCAGATCCACGTCGCTGCAGTGGACCAGCCGAAGACAGCGTTCCGATCGCGCTTCAGCCTTTACGAGTTCACGGTGATGTCATTCGGTCCCACCAACGCACCCGCTACCTTTCAGAAGGCGATGAACTACATTTTCAGGGACATCCGAGAGCAGTATGTTCTCGTCTACCTCGACGATATCCTGGTCTACAGTCGTACCCTTGAGGAACACCTCAGACACCTCCGTGACGTCCTTGACCGCTTGCGCAGACATTGCTTCTACGCCAAGCTGAGCAAGTGCCGCTTTGCCCAGCACAAAGTGGATTTCTTAGGACACTACGTGTCTGATCAGGGTCTCTACATGGACGGCGTGAAGATCACTGCTATTGGGGAGTGGCCCGTCCCCACATCCGCCAAGCAGCTTCGCAGCTTCCTAGGCTTTACCAACTACTATAGTAATTTCATCCAGGAATACGCTAGGTATTCCTATGTCCTTACCTCCACCCTCCTCCGGAAGAACCCACCCTGGGCTTGGACACCCCTCCACGAGGACGCCTTCCGCGCCCTCAAGAAGGTGGTGACATGCGCACCGGTTCTTCACCTACCCGATTTTGATCGCCCTTTTATCCTTACCACCGATCCGTCAGACTTTGTTGTAGGAGCAGTGCTTTCTCAGATCTTCCCCTGCTCTCCTGATTCCTCTCATCCTCGTATCCCTCGCTTCCCACCACCTACCCCTACCACTGCTTCCCGGCTGACGCCTACTCGTCCAGCTACTAACGAGCCTTCTATTGACTATTCTCCTACCATCACCGAGGACGGCACTGTCGAGTCTCGCTCAGGTGATTGTCTGATAGCCTTGTACTTCCGTCAGCTCCTACCCGCCGAGATAAACTACACCGCTGATGAACGTGAGGTTCTCGCAGTAATTTATGCCGCTCGACACTGGCGTCACTACCTGCACGGGGCACCGTCCAGGGTGCGTACGGACAGCTTTGTTGTCCAGACTTTTCTGACAAAACCGAAGCTCACTCCTCAACAGGCTCGCTGGTGGCGCGACCTATCCGAGTTTAGCTTCACCACTTAGCACATCAAGGGTGAGACTAATCAGGTTGTAGATGCCTTATCCCGGCACTCTGACCACAACCAGGAGCAGATCCAGCTCTCTTCCATCTCGGTCACCACTGTCCACCCCTCGGTGATCGACGAGTTTCGCACTCAGTACCGCCACTGCCCCGACTATCGCGACATCCACGCGACCCTTCAAAATGGCAAGACCGTCCTGAACTACTCTCTCGGGGACAACGGTCGTGTATTGGCACTGTTCACAGGGCACCAGGGAGCCCCGTATTTGCGTTCCCTCCACTGGACAACTACGTGTCCGAGCAGTAGCAGAGTTCCATGACCAGGCAGCCGCCGGTCATATGGGCTTCCACAAGACGTTGGCTCGTGTGAGCCGCCTGTACGTCTGGCCGAAGCGCAAGGACTTTGTGAAGGACTACGTCGCAGAGTGTCCCACCTGTCAGGAGGTGAACAATGCCAACCACTTGCATTATGGTTTGCTCCAGCCTCTTCCTATCCTTGAGGGTCGTTGGCAATTCCATCTCGATGGACTTTATCGGTCCTCTTCGTCCTCCGACCCCCCGCGGTCATGATGCTATCCCGGTCGTCGTCGACTGCTTCACGAAGCGTGCACGCTTTGTTCCGTGCTGTTATGTCATCAATGCATGTGAGGTCGCCGACATCGTGTTTGACCGAGTCGTGCGTGACCACGGCTTACCGCTGAGCATCATATCTGACCGTGACCCGCGCTTTAACAGCCGATTCTGGCGACCGTTCCACGAGGTTTACGGCACCCAGCTCCGCTTCTCCTCGGCTTACCATCCTCGGACTGATGGTCAGACCGGGATCACGAACATTACTCTCGGAGATATTCTCTGAAAGATTGTTCGTGATGACCTGCAGTGGGATCTCCATCTTGCCCACGCGGAGATAGCCTACAACCACGCCGTCTCGCCAGCCATGGGGATGTCGCCTTACYATTGCGACCTTGGCTATCACCCTTGTGTTCCCGCGGACTTCCTTCGACCGCCGCAGATGCACCCCGACACGAGTTGTCCCGCGCTGGATGATTGGGTTGCACACATGATGTCGATCATGAAGATCGTACATGAGCACATAGCAGCTTCCCAGACTCGCATGGCAGCACGTGCGAACCGATCGAGGATGGATCATTCATTCAAAGTCAGTGATGATGTGCTTATCGACGTCTGCCACTTACAGCTCGAAGCGGACACGCTTCGCAAGTTTCGGCTTCGCCACCAGCCGGTGAGGCCTGCAAGGCTACAAGCAAGATAGGCCTGCTAGGCCACAGGTAGGCAGGTTTTGCGGGCCTCATGCAGGCAAGGCCTGCAAGGCCGTAGGTAGATTGCCTACTGGCATTATAGCCCTTCATATATGAGGGTTGCTCCTATCCTGATGTGAAATAGGAGCTAGCCCAGTAAGTAACGTACCAGCCTGATACACCGTAGATGCGGGGATCGAAGCCAATAGGCCATTGGGCTAGCTCCTTCCTTTTGGAGCAGCCCAACTTTATGGCGCGGCCGTTTTCGGTCGTGCGATCGATAAAATCGCACGGCTGAAAAACAGCCGCGCAGAGAGTAGCATGACCGACGCAAGGATGACATGATTTTTTGTTTTCTGAAAATTTGAAATAGCAGCAGCCTCGCGGGTTGACGAGGCACTGCTTCTTCCCATAGGAAAGGGGGAAACTCGTTTTCATTTTGCACATCTGGTGAGTAGGGTGGTGAGGGTCATTTTTCATGAGGTTGCACAACCCCACCATGCCCTGAATCCATTTGGATTTGAACTCTGGTCTGCATTTCAACAGTTCATGGCTGGGCCTTGGAGCCACAGCCTTCCAAAGGGCGCTGTTAGGCCAATGGGCAAAAAGGGAAAAGAAAAAAGAAAAAAGAAAAAAAGGAAAAAAAAAAAAAAGTGGATCAAGATTTTGAGAAAATCTGTATTTTGCAGTTTGCGCCTATATTTGTTTGGTGGCGTAAATGATTTTTGTTGGCTCTAAAAAAAATTCTCTGAGTAGGTGGGCACCTATGCCACGCGCATGAATTTTTTCAGATGTTTTCATTTGACGAAATTTTAATTAAAAATCGCCAGAGTCGGGGTACTTCGTGCATCCCACTCTGAGCCTGTCGAGATCTTAGCTCGTGATTATCACGAGTCATTCTTCCCCCCCCCAGCCTTAGCACTGAGCTGGCACCCCTCAAAACGGGTGCCAGACAGAAAAAAGGTAGCCAATGGCTGTCCAAGAGTTAGCTGTAGCCATTTGGCTGCCTATTTTTAATGTGGAAGACCAAGGTGGAAAAAACAAAACGTAGAGAAAGACCATGGCTGGGAATTCTCCAACCCATAACCACAGCAAGAGAGTGCAGCTCTGGCCTTTTTAAGGTCTGCCTGTGACTCTTGCCTCCAGCAGCAGACTGAGCCTTCAAGGCTTTGAAGCCTCCAAATTGGCAGCCCTCCAGATAGCAAAGGGCTTGACTTATCCGCCTTGTATTGAAGCCCTATGAGGGCTGCTTGGGCTCAAACCCATGCGAACTGAGTTTGCCCCCATTTTTAATGAGAGGCTGCTCCGGAACTTGGGTCCAGAACCCGATGAGACAGCTTGAAGCCATCATCACAGGATGTACAAGCCTGCAGAGGGACATGTATATATATACACAAGGCGAAGCAAGCTAGACAATGAAAGTTATGGGTCACAACAACTCTGATTCCACGGTGATAGCAGAGGAAGCAAGGAGAAGGGACAAGTGGCAGTCACAGAGTGATTTCGGGATTCAACAGCTCGAGTGAAGGCAGATAGAGGCACATATGGACCCATAACTAAAGTGATGTGAGTGCCCCACCTCCACGACTATATTAGGAAGGGGTGGACCCAAGCAAAGGCATAGCAGAGCAGCAGCTTGACATAGCATATGAGGCTATGGGCGCGTAGTGAGACCTAAGGCTTGATACGTGACACTCATGAGCTTAGGAGTGGACTGAGCTCCGGGAGCAGCTAAGCACAGCTAGGAGGGGAGTGGAGGAGCTGCCGGTGGGAAGTGCTGCTGCTAGAGGAAGTGTTGTCTGGAGGAGGAGAGTGGAGGTCTGCAATAGAGGCTGAGAGAGGAGGCTCCCATAGCCACCATCTCAGCAAGGGTGGAGGTGCTGCTGGCTATAGCCACAGTCATAACGACGGTCGTGGGGGAGGCACTGCTACTTTTTGCGGCAACTGTGGCGGCGATGCAGGCTTTTACGGCGGTGGTACGGAAGTGCTGCCGAACTTTTGCGGCCGCGACGCAGGCTTTTACGGCGTTGGTACGGAAGTGCTGCTGAACTTTTGCGGCGGCGACGCAGGCTTTTACGGCGGTGGTACATAAGTGATGCCGAACTTTTGTGGCGGCAACGCAGGCTTTTACGGCGGTGGTACGAAAGTGCTGCCGTTTCTTGTCGGTGTTATTTTCTGCCCTGTTTTCTTTATGTTTTTTTTTTAATAAAGAAAACATACAAACCACAGTGTGTATGCAACCTCATAATACTGGAACCTGCAACTCGTCAAAGTTCATGCCTCATCCTTAATGCACAGACAATTGCTTTCTCACAATTGCAGCACGTTCTACCCGTTCATTCCTTCACCAGTCCAGTAACTCTCTCTCTCTCTCTCTCTCTCTCTCTCTCTCTCTCTCTCTCTCTCTCTCTTTTTTTTTTTTTTTCAACAGAGCAACTTGAAAGGTACCCCAGGTTAAACCCACGACACCTATGCCTACCACGATAACCAATGCAACTTCTCCCGTCATAATTTTATAATGCCCAAAGTGCAAGGAACCCGACTGTTCATCACTTGCTGGAGTGCATTAGATCACATGCATATACACAAATTTCACAGATTGCGATGTCTCACACAAAGCCCAATAGAAATGAATGAGAACCAGGAAGCAACTCAATTATCAAACCCAGAATTAGAGAGAGAACATCGTGAGTTCAAAGTGTACAGCGCCAAGCAGAGTTACAAGTGTTCTTCAATCAACATAAACTCCCAGGCCTGGCGCTCATCAGCACCAGCTACCTAACGTCAAAAGTGCCTCAACAGGTAAGTATGATCTCTCTCTTCTCGTCCTCTGTCTATAGTCCTAGTCTACTCTCACTCATCATTCATGCACACTCCCTATCACACGAGGATCTACTCTAAATACTACTCACTGGTGTCTCCTACTGACTATCCCTACTAACATACTAACTAGCGCTGGTGCAACTATGGCTGCCTAGCGTTGTCGGTGCGAATACCCTTACAAGGGTATCCGCCCTGTTTTGTTTTGCAAACGACAAAAACTAAATTTGGCTTAAAGTTCAAAGTATACCGCACGAGGCGCGGTTGTGTCTGTGGTTTGCGTTGACGAGATGGTTGATTAGAATGGAGAGCATGTGAGCGCGCAGGATTTAAGGCGCGCATAATTCTTTTACTTGTTGATGATTGAAGAGCTGGCGCGATCGCCGACCATATTTATTTTGGAGTAAACTAGGATTAAAAATATTTTGTCTCTTGATTGGTCCACCTACCTGCAACATGTGTGTGCATACGGAGGACGATATCGACGACAATGTGACTTTGAAAACATCTCAGTAGGTCTGCGCGTCTCGCAGTATCCGTTTGTTTAAGCGTCCGTCAGAACTAGACCCAACCTTGGGCCTAACACTATTGGTTACGGCGTCAGGCTTTCATCAGAGAGATTCAGGGATCAAGGTTGAGCGGCGACGGCGCGGGGGTATCAGAATAGCGCGAATGGGTCGAGGGATCGAAGACCCGGCGGGACTATCCCCCTTGATTCTTGTGGTCAGCATAGTCAAAGTGGTACTAGTGGTTCCTCTTTCCTCGTTGTCGTTCTCTGATGATTGAAATTTTCTTACATATTCTATTTTACTTTTATTTTTGTATTATTTAAATTATATGCCTTGACGTTTCGTTAAGTCAAGCGCGACACGACCACGGGTGGCCGTCGCGGCAGCCAAGGATCTTGAGCCCGCGCCTCCTTTGGCGAGCCCGTTCAGGTTTCGACGTGTTCGGATGTTGACGGAGTTCCCCCGCCCCTCCCGTCTTGAAGTATGGGCTGCGGAGGTTACTGTACGGGAGAAGGGTGGATAGGGGTCGAGCGCCTTAGAGTGAGGATGTCTGGGGCTCTGTGGCGAGGCCCCACAGCGGTACCACGACATGCGGCGGTTTACGTGGAACCCACTTCCACTTTGGCCTTTAAAGCTCCCAATTGAATGTTTGATACTACCGTCGAGGCGTTGTCCCGAACGCGAACAAGCGTCCAAAACCCTCCGAACGAGAACATAAAAAACATTACAAAAAACAAAGTTCTCAGAAAAATCTGAAAAAAATCTATGTTATGTAAAATAATGATACCAGCAATTTTTGCTTTGGAGGCAACGTTGAAATTCGTAATCAATCATGAGTTAAAAATAAAAAAACAAAAGATTTTTTATTTATTTTTTTTTACGAAAAAAATATGTTCGCGTGAACATGTTCACGAGCTGTTCGCGCGAACGTGCCTAACTCGTTCGCGCGAACGTGAAGGGGCGCGAACATGTTCGCCGTGCCACGCAGGTTTAGAGAAGTTAGATTATATTTTGACAGGTGACAATCTTGGAAATCCACTCTGTATATAGGAGATTCTATTAGGGTCTACCTTTCTTTTGACATTTGCTTAAAGGTAGACTCATGACTAGTTAGATAGAATGATCCTCAGTGAAAGCATGATATGGAGGTTACTCTCGATTTGAACTCATAAATTTAGTTTAGGCATTGACCTGTCCTGTGTTACAGGTCGTCGTGATCATTCGATTCAGGATCTGGAGTAAATTCAGCTTGATCCTACAAGGATCACCTTTTGTTATCACTTATAACAGGTCGGCTGCCAATTCGTCGGTCTACGACTCAACTCCAATTCATCCTCAACACTCAACCTAAAAGGCTTCAGCCCTGGTGATTTTTATTGTTTTATTAAGGTTTTCACCCGGACTTTTATTGAATGGCCATTTAACGAAGGTACTGAGTATTTAATTATGGTTAGTTGGACAGAGGTTGGGGCTTGCATGACTAAAGCGAAGGGTATGAGTGTAGAGATTGGTTCGAGTTGACTCCGTGTAGTGCGTGAACTCTTGTTTGACTCTTTGATGTGATTGCAAGTATGTTCTGTGATTATGATTTTGGATATGACTGTCTGCGATCACACACATATATATGGCTGTGAGGAGTCCGACTGTGACTGTGAGAAGTGGTCGTCACATACTCATTCCCCTATATATGTATATATGTAAATATATATGTGTACTTATGCAGGGTGGTCGCATGGCCTGAGGGGCCTACGCTTAAAGGTTAGATGGGGGTTGAGATCGAGAAGAGAAAGAAAACCCCGTTTTATTGTTGAATGCTTCTTGGCCTGGATTCGAGGTCCTTGTCCAGGACATCCCAGGCCCTAGACTCTTCATGGAAGGAATCTGCCCCCGTGCAGAGCCTATTTGCCCTGTCCACCGAGACACTCAGCTTAAAGGCCGGAGGAGGTCTCGCGGCGGCCGCACGGTTATTC